GGGCCCCTGCCCCTGCGCAGCCCGTCGGCGTGGGCTGCTCTGCAGCTCTGGCTTCGTCCGGAAGATGAGGGACAGTCATCTGTAGGCTTTCCTGGAAATCCAGGAGGTAATTTTATTTCTCCAATAGATGTTTTTGTATCTTGAGAACAGAGCGTATTCTGGATCCAGATACAACCCATTATTTATTCTTAATTAAAAGCAAATACCAAAACCCTCTCGTATAACAGTAAGCTTGAAAAACAGGCTAACCTCTCCCTGCATGCCAGCGCTGAGGCTGGAACGGTTTGGTCTGTGTGAGCTATCTGCAAAGTCATTTAAGAAACCTGCTGTAAAGCGCTGCCAAACCCCTAGACGTGTGAAGCTGCTTTGGCAGGGGCTCCTCGTTCTGCTGGAGAACATCCGTAAAGGCAGGGTATTTCAAAGTCAGCAGCTCCTGTGCGTTAGAAGGAAAATTCCCTGCTCACCAGAAGTATCAAGAGGTGATGGGCTGGGGTTTTTGGAAACAGGTCTGTAGTGTAACCGAGTACCTTTTCTGTGCTAGACGGGGTTTTTTTTCCTTTCTTTCTAGTTATACGTTCTACAGTCTTTCACTTGAGAAAAGAAAAGGCCAAATGGATTGGGGTTTTCTTCCTTCAGAAAGAATAAATAATCTGATCAGTACATATAAAATCACAGAATAAAGCCTTGCACTGTGTGTCTTTGGAAAAAAAAAAAAAAAAAAAAAGAGTCCTTTCATTTCGTTTCCGTAGACTTCCTCTCTGTATGGATAAAATTAGGAATTATTATTACCCGGGACTTGGCAAGGCCCTGACGGACCGCGATAACCATCCCTGCTAGGCTCTTCCAAAAAATCCTGCTCTCCTCGTCGGGTTTTCGTAGCAGCACGTGAAGTGCCCGCTCTCTCCGTGTCACACCAGGTCAGGGCGACCGGCGCAGGAGCAGCAGTGTGGTGGCGGCTCGGAGGCGATGCTGTCAGCGAGACAAGGGTTTAATTCTGAATTCTCCCTCTCCGGCCCTTCCAGGCTCAGGTGTTTACATCACCCGGGGGCAGCTGATGAATTGCCACTTATGTGCCGGTGTCAAACACAAGGTCCTTCTGAGACGTCTTCTGGCCACCTTCTTTGATCGGTACGTCCTCTTGCTCTTTGCGCTCTCCCAAGGGATTCAGTTTATTTTCCGGTGTTTTAACCGTGTTAACAGATAATGTGTCGTGAGCGCTTCATCCTCTCTGTATGCTGCACTGTGCTTTTTCTCGATGACGCTTGAACGCGAGCACCAGGGTTTCCAATTCCTTGCCTTAAGATCGTGTAGCGCGATGATGCCTCCGTACGGACCTACGGGGAAGAGGACGAGGCAGCGGCTGTCCCCCGGAGTCCCCGGTGTAAGGATCTTCCTTTGCCTTTCTTGCAGGAACACGCTTGCCAACAGCTGCGGAACTGGAATCCGGTCCTCCACGAGCGATCCCAGCAGGAAGCCCCTGGACAGCAGGGTTCTTAATGCAGTCAAATGTAAGGAAAGAGATTTATTGCTGCTCTGTTGGAACAGCATGCCGTGAGCAAAGCCCAAACCTAAGCAGGGAAAGCCATCTCTGTTGCGTAATATGGGAACTATATCTGTTGAAATTAGATTATAGGAAAATTAATTTATTTTGCATCATTTTTGAGGGGGCTGACGTCCTTTTTTTTTTTTTTTATTTGTTTGGCGGTATCTTAATATAAAACATTATTGCTATTTGACTGTTTTACTGTATTTCAAGGCACTGATTTTGCAGTTAATTATTTTATTGATAGGTGCTCTAAGAAGGAAATTGAAATTACGGTTTTGGCAACATTCAGAGCTTGGAACCACTGAAACAAGCCGTCCCTGTGGGCTGGCTTTTATGCCCTGGGACTCCAGCTCACATTCGGGTTCAGCTGAGTGCAGGGCTCTGCCAAATGCCCAGATTTACAGGAGCAGAGCCTAGAGCTCCGCTCCATCTCCCAAAGACACCCTCGGTGCATCTCTCGGAGGTGCTTGTCCCGCGGTGCCCAGGCCGTGTCGGTGCCCGAGAGCAGCCGTGCTTTTCGGTGCTTTTTGGGGCTGTTGGTCTTCAGCAGTAAACGTGTCCCCGGGAATCAGGGAATCTGCTGGCTGCTTCAGCTCTGGTAGCGTGGGAGGGTCTGCTCCACGTCTGGCTGGTGGCCTTTCTGGGAGGGTTTACAGTCTGTGATGGTCTGAGGGCTGGAGCACCTCTACCATGGAGACAGGCTGAGAGAGTTGGGGTTGTTCAGCCTGGAGAAGAGAAGGCTGCAGGGAGACCTTAGAGCATCTTCCAGTCCCTGCAGGGGCTCCAGGAAAGCTGGAGAGGGGCTGGTGACAAGGGCAGGGAGTGACAGGCCAAGGGGAATGGCCTGAAGCTGCAGGAGGAAGAAATCCTTCCCTGTGAGGGTGCTGAGGCCCTGGCACAGGTTGCCCAGAGAAGCTGTGGCTGCCCCTGGCTCCCTGGCAGTGTTCAAGGCCAGGTTGGATGGGGCTTTGGGCAACCTGGGCGAGTGGAGGGTGTCCCTGCCCATGGCAGGGGGTGGAACTGGATGGGCTTTGAGGTGCCTTCCCACCCAAACCACTCTGGGATTCTCTTTCCTTGAATATATTTTGTAAACTTCTTTTTTTAAAAAAAAAATCCAAAACCATAAAATGGGAGCCCTGCTGCAAATAATTGCCTGTTTAAAAGATTGCATAAAGCAGCAGGAGCTTTTGGTTTTAACATCTGCGCTCCACGCAAAGTTCTGCGTTGTGCCGCGCAGCTCGGCGAGTCGGGTCGGTCTGTCTGTAGAGCCGCTGAGCTCCGTCTCGGAGCTGGGGGTGCCAAAGGTTCAGCTGTTTCACAGCCCTCCTGCTGTCCCGCAGGTGAGATCCCCTGCGTTTGCGGGATTACGCAGCGCCCTAACGTTAGCCAGGGTTGGGATGTGCAGGACTACCTGCTTCCCCGTCTGCGTTTCTGCCCAACGCCTGATCTTTGTACAAGAAAAGGAGAGGTTTGTCCCTTCCGTCGAGGTAGTTTGTTTAGTTATGGCAGGCACCAGAAACCAATGGCTCGGTATTTGGCTCTTGCGGTCGCCCTTGAATACAAGGAGCGTGCTGCGGGCCAAAAGGTGCGTGCTGGTGCGCGAGGACCTGGGCGGTGTAGGAAACCCTGATGGGGTGGTGCAGCGAAGCCTGTTTACTGTGGGCTTGATAAACGGTGGAAAGCAATGCGTCCTCTCACCCTCGCTGGATTCTGGATAGTAAATCTCTATGTAAATATTATTGCACTGGAAAATGAAACTCTAAGCAATTTTTTTAAAATTATTTTTTTATTTTTAAGATTTGGAAGATAAATCTTTCCTTTCCCTAATTGTTGCTGTTCTGAACTCCAGGGGCCTTCCAGCCACCCTCTGAGATCTGTAGCATGTGGAGAAAAGGGCTAAGATGGCAGATGTTCAATACATAAAGACAAAATCACTAGACTGTGCCGTTGGTGCTTGCCCTGCGTGGCGCTCTCCTGAGACAGCTGCCCTGTTAGCAGCTTCATCCCGGAGAGCCCTGGGTCTGGACCTTCCAGCCTTGGGACTTGCTGAGGCTTCCAGAGAGTTTCAGGGGTTGGAAAGGCATCGCTGTCCAGTGGCAGTGCCTACGACACGCTGACATGTTTCAGGGCGTAAGATGACTTCTAACTGCCCAAATTTTAGAGAGAAATACCCTGCGCACAAGTTTTAGTTGATAATGACGCACCATGGCGGTGTGATGATGTTGCTCCATAACGTCAGGTGCTTGGCCCCCGTAGAGGAGCAGGGCGGCAGTCGAGGTGTTGCTGGGCTTCCGCAGGGTCCGTGCCAGCTGATGTGGGAGGGATGGTGTGGTGGTGGGATGGTGTGGTGGTGGGATGGTGTGGTGGTGGGATGGTGTGGTGGTGGGATGTTGGAGCACCCACCCTGGGCAGGCTGGAGGTCCGTGCGGCGCTGGCTGGCCCCGCGGTGGCCGGCACGAGGTGTAGGGCAGGCAGAGGACGGTCCTTCGGGCAATCTCCTCTGCTCCGTCAAGAGCAGCTCTGGCGTTTTCCATCCCCGCAGCTGTGCCTGCACCACCGTGGTTTTAAGAGCCAGTGATGGATCTGCTGGGGAGGAGTTTGTGTTGATTTTTTCTGGGTCCATCTCCGCTATTGGCCATCCAGCGTGCTGCGGACATGGGTGCTGCGCTCTGCCTGGAGC